GAACGCGAGCCAGCAGCATCGGGGCAGGAGGGCAGCGAGTTGTGCCGTGCTGTGCCGTGCCGTGCTGTATAGTGCCGAGCCAGCCTGGCCCCGTGAGCTGCCAGCCCTGGCACGGGGTGAAGCACTAATCCCAGGTTGGGCAAGAGGAAATTGCCTAAGCGCAGGGTGTTCCCCAGGCACCTCAGGGATGCAACTTGCGGGAGCTGCTCCCTTGTCACCCCTCAACCCGTCCCCTCTGCTGCATAAAGGGGAAGTAGAGCCACCGACGTGCCAAGCAGAGGGCCAGCAGGCAAACAACAGGGGCTGCAGGCTCAAAGCTGGGGCCTTGGCCAACACACAGCCCCCCTCCCCGGCACCTCTTGTTTTGCAGAGATCTTCCACAAAGTGCAGAAGCGGAAGCAGAACAGCCAAAGCAACACGGTGTCGCTTGCCAGCGAGAGCCCGGACAGCACAGCCCCAGCGCAGACGGAGAAGCGCCCGTGCTGCGTGGCCCTCTGAGCTGGCTGGGGAGCCCGGGAAGCCCCCAGGGACCCCTGCAGCCCCGGGACATGGCAGTGGTGTAGAGCTGGGTCTGCCTCCACACAGACTCGTCTGGCCACCAGCACAAGGCTGGCGTCACCCAGCCTGCGGTGCCGCCCCCATCCTGGTGCAGTGGGGACCAGCAGCCCAGACAGTGGCCAAATTCTGCCATAAATGGTGAGAAGCACCAGTGTCGGGAGCTCTTCTCTGTCTGCTTCATTTTTGCCGGGCCCTGATTTGCATCACCACTGTCACACACGGATCCCCCAGCCCCTCCAGACCCGCGGTGCAGAGGACTGAGATACCCCCGAGGCACCGCTGGGGAGGGAGCCAGGAGGTTCTGGCCAGGATCATGCCAGCGACGGGAGCCTCTCCGATTGCGTCTGGCCCTGGGGTTGCTCTCGTGGGGCAACCCTGTGCCACGCGCTGGGGATGTGGCTGTCCTCATAGGTCTCCGTCCCCACTGGGGGCTGCTCTGGGGTCGTCCCAAGCCCTAAGGAGTGAAGTGGCAGTGCTCACTTGGCACATCTCCGTCCCCATCCCAGGCATGGGACAAGTGTGGTGGCAGGACCTAGCGAAGGTCCCTCCCATCTGCATGGCGGGATGGGGCTTGGTGCAGAGCCTGGTGCCGAGGGGCCCGGGAGCAGCTCTGTGTACAGCACAACCGTGACGCAACCATTAAAGGACTTGCGAAATGCAGGTTTGCTGAGCTGGAATTCCTGCGTGTTTGTGGTCCCATCCCTTGGTCCCCACCTCCATGACATGCTGGAGATCGTGGTCACCCAAGCAGCCCAGCCTGATGCCATCGTCCCCCTGCACCCCCTTCCCACACAGCCTTTCCCAGTCCATGTCCCCACACCCTCGATGGCTTACAGGGGACGGCTGGCAGTTTATCAGTCCGAACCGTGACTTGGCCCCAGCCAGTTATCTGAATCCCCTCGGAAATGGGAGAATTGCTGCTGGATTCTCTGTATCTTCCTCTAGTTCTGGGCACTTGCTTTCCCTTCGCACCGTGCAAGACGTGTCAGCCCAGCTCCCGTTTCGTGTCTGTGGCTCTGCGTGGAGAGCGTGGCCATGGCTGTCCCCATGGGTGGCACACAGGGGTGGCCTTTCCCTGCTGCCACGCAGTGCTTTGCATGAGGACACCCCGATGCAAGGCACCCCGGAGCCCTCGGGAAAGCACGGCAGCGCTGAGCAGGGAGCAGAGCCCTC